GAAGAGCACAGGCTCTGGAGCCAGATGGCAGGGTTTAAATCCCCGCTGCACCACAGCCTGGCCCCGTGACCTTGAGCAAATTATACACTCTGTGTGTCAGTTTCCTCATTTGGAAAGTGAGCATCAGGAGATGCCCTGTTGTCTCACCCAGGCAGACATGCCTTATTATCTGACTTCTAGACTATATGTTTAAATATTTTTAGAGCAGAATCATAAGGTTCTACAATTATAAATTGTAAGTTGTAATATTATTTTACATGAAATATTGGTATATTATCGAATCATTAGGTGAGCACTTCTTTGACACAGAGCAGGAGCAGTTGCTAGGAGGGGAAAACGTTGAGTATAACCTCTGTTAATGGTTTTATAGAGGGTGGTGATGAAGAGCACAGGCTCTGGAGCCAGATGGCAGGGTTTAAATCCCCGCTGCACCACAGCCTGGACCCGTGACCTTGAGCAAATTATACACTCTGTGTCTCAGTTTCCTCATTTGGAAAGTGAGCATCAGGAGATGCCCTGTTGTCTCACCCAGGCAGACATGGTGGGAGCAAAGAACTAGAACACACTGACTCTACTTCCAAATCAGTGTGATCTTGCTAATATCGAAAATGTAGAAAATGTCTACCCATGGGCAAAATAGAAAATAAAATTAAAACTGGACCAAGTGGAAAAGATACGTGGTGTTATAAACATTCACTGACGTGTTAATGGAACTACTAAATTTAAATATGTTGTGAATTATAAATGGGATCATACATGAAGCTATAAGGAGCACAGTATTTATTTGATTGGTTGTTGTGAGAGTACACGAGTAAATACGCATAAAGCCCCTAGCACAGTGCCTGTATTGTAAACGCTCTGTAAGTGTTGGGTGATGTAAGGTTATTATGATTATACTAATGATAATTATTGTGATTTATACTGACAGAATGAAATGAATGAATATTCAGATGAAAAGTAAAAATAGTAGTCAAATATCACAAGTGTTTGTATATTGTGTCCCAAATTGAGTTGTATAGGCATGGAAAAACAATTTATTATTTATTATATATACTTCAAATGTATTTTCCTTGTTTCTACAATGATAGCTAAAACTTTCATATATTAGTAATGGATCCAAGTGTAATTCTACAGAGAAAGAGTTTGGATCTATACATATAAGATAGCCAAAGATTGAATTGTACCCAAATGTCCTCTGCATACTAAAAAATTTGATTTGGGGCTTTTTTATGTTTTTATTGAAAGGGCTCATCCATATTGTTTTAAGATATTTGCTTTTATTTATTTTTAATTATTAAAAAAATTTTTTTTGGCAGCTGGCCAGTATGGAGATCCAAACTCTTGACCTTGGTGTTACATTTGCCTTAATTCAGATCACTAGTGCTTGTAACTAATACTGTAAGAATTTCTGTATATCAGCTACTTCATAACCCAGGTGTGTTAGTCTGCTTTTGTGTTGCTATAACAGAATGCCTGGGTAACTTATCAAGAAAAGAGTTTTATTTGGCTTACTATTCTGGGACAGCTGCATCTGGTACAGGCCTCAGGCTGCTTCTATACATGGCAGAAAGTGGCAGGGCAGCCTGGCAGGTACAAGCAGATCACATGGTGAGAAGGAAGCAAGAGAGAGAGAGAGAGGGAAGTTGCCAGTGTCCTTTAAACAACCAGCTTCCAGTATGAATCTGGCCCTTACATCATGGGCATGAGGGGTGGCAGTCAGCTTTGTATCACATGAATATCCATAACCAATAAAAAAAAAAAAAGAAATTGGGCCTTACACACCAAAAATAAATAAATAAATAAATGAAATAAACAACCCACTCCTGTGGGAACTAATGGAGCGAGAACTCACTCACTACTCCCCCTCCCCCAGGGAGAGCATGAATCCATTCATGAGGGATCCGCCCCCATGACTCAATCAGTTTCCAACACTGCCCCATTGGGGATCAGATTTCCACATGAGCTTTGAGGGGGGACAACACATCAAACTCTAACATCAGGCTTGTTATTTGTTCATGTGTTATTATCGAGAATCAAGCTATAGAATTCTGGTTACTAGGGATTAGCCACAATGGTAGACGTATACACCCAGCCCTGATTAATGAAATTGCTAACTGCTCTTCTCTTTGATGGCTATGTGAAACGTCTCCCCCACCCTTTCCCTTCACCACCATCCTCTTCTCCGCCTCCTTTTTTTCTCTTCCTTCCAACTCCTCCTGCTATGTTCCCGTATGTATTTAATGTGCAGAAATCTGGCTGCGGCTCTTTCAAACCGACTGCCATTCTTCACATCAGCCTTTTGCTCTGCTGCCTTTGCACAGGCTTTTTCCTCTGTCTAAACTGCATTTCCCCTTTTCTTCACCAAAGATGACCTGTTCATATTTTAATCTCATCCTGGGCCTCATCTTCTTTGTGCTATGTATTTACAGCAATTAAGCAACTGTGTCAGGTCATAGTTTCTGTTTTACTCTTGGGTTTTCTTATGTCAGTTAATCAAAAATTTTTTTCTCCTGGTATCATAATCTGATGTGAATTTCAATAAAGCCATAAAGATGATGCAGCTATTATTTTACAGAACAAATCCATTTTCTGAAATCCTGTGTGTGTGTGTGTGTATACAGATATCCCTAACAAGTACCTCAGTCACTTTCATTGGAATAAAAATTAATAAGTCATTTTGCAAACAAAGTAAAGCCTAGAAGCTCAAAATAAAGATTCCTGTGGTTATAATTAATTCATAGATTATAAAAATTTATTACCTGCCAGATGCTGCTCTAAGCACTTTATGAGTTATGTCCTTTTATGCTGAGGGTGGTTTTTATTATGATCCCATTCTATAGGTGAGGGAACTGAAACATAGATGAAGAAATGAGCCCAGCCTAGCACAGCTGGGCACAGTGGCAGAGCTGGGGTCAGACCTCAGTGGTCTGGCTGTAGAGCCCCATCTTAACCATTCTGTTAGAGTGCCTCTCAGACCCAGTCACTGTGCTTTCTTTCATGCACAAACTATTCTGTGCAGTCCTGTGTATTATCATGATGCTAATATGTTTTTCTGTCTAATGAGAAGAGTGTTAGGGTTTTTTTTAATAAGAGAGTTTTCTTATATTATGTGATATGAATTAAGGGTCATGAGATTAGTTTTCAAAGTTGCATTCTTTGTATCAATAATTTATTTTCTACTATATAAATCCTCTCACAGATGTTGCTATTGGAGCTCCACAAGAAGATGATTTACGAGGCGCTATTTATATTTACAATGGCCGAGTAGATGGGATCTCATCAACCTTTTCACAGGCAAGATACTATTCCATTTTCAAAAGAAGCATTGGTGGTAAAAGCATCCTTAAAATTTCCAGTGTTTATGTAGACTTATTTTTCTTAAAACTTAACATTTTATTTCACTATTTCCTGATAATAATAGTAGATCCTCTTTTTAAAGTATTAATAACTCTTTAAACCATTTTTTTTTCATGAGTAGGAGTTATAGTTCACTTTCACTCTAACTTGTTTTTAGTCTGTTAAAGATTTCTCTCTGCATTTCATCAAATTTGTGTTCTGAGATAATATCCACACCATTCCAAATAAGCCCACTTGGATTTGAGTCACTATGTCTTGCCTTGTGGCTAAAGCCCCATATTTCATGAAGATTGCACAGGGAGATCAAACATGCATATGATACTCTGTGTTTCTTTCAGAGTTGAGTAGTAAGATGACAGATAACACTTTAAAGTTACATGATGTACCTCTGACTTCACTTTTATATTTCGAAAAATCAGGGCATTTCAGTGCATAGAAAAAACCACATTCGGGCCGGCCCGGTGGCGCACTGGATAGTGCGCCGCTTGGGAAGCGTGGTGGCGCTCACGCCCGAGGGTTCGGATCCCACATACAGACCGGTTCCCGCTCACTGGCTGAGCGAGGCGTGGGGGCGACACTGAGGGTTGCGATCCATTGCCGGACACGGAAAAAAAGACAAAAAAAAAAAAAAAAGAAAAGAAAAAACCACATTCGGGCCGGCCCGGTGGCGCACTGGATAGGGCGCCGCTTGGGAAGCACGGTGGCGCTCACGCCCGAGGGTTCGGATCCCACATCCAGACCGGTTCCCGCTCACTGGCTGAGCGAGGCGTGGGGGCGACACTGAGGGTTGCGATCCATTGCCGGACACGGAAAAAAAAAAAAAAAAGAAAAGAAAAAACCACATTCACATGCAGAAAAGAAAAGTTTTTTCTGAAAGATATCTTTATGGAAACAGGTAGTACTGTTATTTTTGGCTAGGTAGCAATGGGCAAGTGGTTCTCTGTATTTAACATGAAAGATTTGTATTTGTCTAGTAAAAAATACTGATTTTTCTTACTATGCATAGCAGCTTGATATATATAGTATCTGGACATGAAATTAGATAGAGTAGGAATCACAACTCTGACTTGTGTTGTCCTTGTTAAATGCTAGGAAGCAATCTGGCTAAATAATTTGGTTTTCATCAGAAGCCTGACTAGTAGGCTCCGCTAAGTGATTATAGACATTTTATTTTCCAAATTACTTGTTTAGGTATTCATGTTGGTCAAGGAAGTAAATGCAGAGCCTGCAAAAAGACTTCAGGAGAGGGAGTCAGGATGTTTTAAGAAATGTTCACTGCATAATTTTCCTTTTGCTCACAAAGTAAAGGAAGTAATTTTGTTTGTTTCAGTCACAAAATAGATGCCAACTGCTCATTTCAAACTGGAAAATTTTGTTTCTCTTAGGAGTATTTGACTTAAATGAATTTGTTAGTAAATGGGCCAGGGCATGCGTGGGAGGTCTCTTTAGCTAAGTCCTTGTTTCTCTGGGAAAGGTGTTCAAAAACTGCTTTCCACTCAACTTACTGTTTTTCAGAGAATTGAAGGACTTCAAATCAGTAGATCATTAAGTATGTTTGGACAGTCTATATCAGGACAAATTGATGCAGATAATAATGGATACGTAGGTGAGTATAAAATTTACCATATTTTATAAATTGGAATAAGTTGTATTGTGAATGCTGAAGTATGTAGAATTGGTATGGAAGACTTCGATTTACTGATGATTTTTTTTCTTCATTTATAAAGGTCTCTTGAATTTAAGGATGTCCTAAAAATGATCAAGTAATTTCTTAGCTTTCTACTGTTCGTTGCTTAATGTTATATTCCTTGTTTTGGAAAAAATGAAAAATATCCATGAAAATCAAATGTATAATAAGGAAAAGAAAGAAGAATTTTTTTTAGTTTTAAAAGGAAATTTGAGTGAACATTTCTAGTCCCAAAATCAAATTTCGTTTTAGTAAGTTTATCTTTATATCATTAGTTTATATCATAAAGTTTGTTATATGGTAAAAGGACAAATGTTGTAAATGAATAGATTCAGACAAATGTGGAAAGAATCTTAAGATGTTAGAATATCTTTTCTAATTAATTTTCTGTAAATAGTCTTTTGATATAGCCAAAAGGTAATATGTAGTTAAGTATTTATGGCTGAAAAGAAATTCTCTTTGACTGATGATGATCGTTAATCTGTGTTGTTTTTTATCCTCCAGATGTAGCAGTCGGTGCTTTTCGGTCTGATTCGGCTGTGTTGCTAAGGTAGGGTTGATACATTTCACTGCTTAATGACACTGGGGCTTAATTGTAAATAATGGCAGACAGTTTTTAAAATCAGCATGGGTAGTGACTTCATAATGCTCTTTTTGGTATTCTGAAATTTAGTTTTTGAACTTTAGGGTATTTTTCCCACCTTACATAGGTATAATTAAACAAATCATCAAAGTCAATATTTTTAGACATTTAAATGAAAATTTCTCTTGATCCATGCATGGAAATGTAATTGAGTATGTATGCAAATACTATTAATAAGCAGATTTGTGCAATTACTTGGGGAAACTGACAAAGTAAATGCTATTGTTAATTTCAGGAAAAATAGTTGTGCAATTAATGTTGCTAATTTTATTTCCTTCTTAGGACAAGACCTGTAGTGATTGTTGAAGCATCTTTAAGCCACCCTGAGTCAGTAAATAGAACAAAATTTGACTGTATTGAAAGTGGATTGCCTTCTGTATGCATGGATCTAACACTCTGTTTCTCATATAAAGGCAAAGAGGTTTCGGGTTATATTGGTAAGTGTGCCCTACAGAATTAATGCCTGGTGGAGTGTGCAGTTCACCCATTGATCTCATGATCATATTTTTGAGCCCTCACTGTTTTTCACCATGGGAGTCTGTTGTAGAGAAGGAAAGAGCAGCCACCTGATACGCACCTTTCTTCCCTTTCTTCCAGATCCTCAAGTTGCTCTAACCAATGAGTGGGGCACATTAGAAGGCTGTAGTTATTTAGAGGTTATGGCGAGAAACAGAGTATATCTTGCTATATCAGTTTAAGGTAAACCACTGACCTTAACCTGTGAAATCTCTTTAGAATAGAAAGAACATCACCACAGCTCCTCTGCTTTACTGAGCTCCTTAAGACCTGCAGCTGGCTTAAGGCTGGACGGCCTGAGAGGGAAAAGATTCTTTTCTTCATATTCCACCCTATTTGAATAATTGAAGAAGGTTATCGGGAGTCTAGAACCTGATTTAATTTCTGTTAATAATACACACCTCTTAATAATTTACTGCGACTATCAGATCCTGAGATCTGTGCCCATTTCCCTACACAGAAGTAACTCTCAATTATCTGTTCTGGAGAAAGTAACATTGATATGACTCGTCCAAAATTGTGGTTAATCCCAAATCACATGTATTTGACTTTGTAAGTATTACGTTTTTGCTAGCAGATTAATATTCCTAATTATGTTATATTTAAGCTAATATTAGAGTAACTACTAGTGAAACTAGTCCATTGTTGGAGAGAAGCAAATAATTCACAAAGTTCATGATCCCCCCAAGGCCTATCAAGAGTTGATCATACTCATGATCCAGCAGGCTGCTGTCATCTAAGCATTATGAAGGGCCACAAATACTTACTGAACCAAACTATGGATATGTAACAGAGGACTCAGTCGAATTTAGCTTGTAACGAGATGTACAGAATGAGCCTGGTGTCTCTTCTTTAGATCAGACTAACTTTTGATAGTGCTCTGGAGAAGTCCTGGTCAGAGCTGCAGTGATAGGAGAGTGGGCAGAGTCTTCATCTGGTTATTGATTGGAGAAGTGGCAGTCTGAGAGTGTGACCCAGAGTGAATTACACATGAACACAGACAAGCTGATGGATTATCTAAAAGATACACACTGAATAGATAGGGCTGTTTCCCTCTGTGTAAAATCTGTGTTTCTCATACTATAAATTCCATTGTGACCAGATATTTTAAAAAATGGTGGAAAATAAATATATGAAACTCATAAATAACCACAGCCTTATTACAGAAACATGCTTTATAATTGTCATAAAATGCCTCCTTGGGAGGAATAATTCACCTGGTAAGCATGTTTAATAAAACCGAGACATTTTACCTTTGACTGAGAGTGGATTTCTATTCATCCCCTTTTCATTTACTTTTTGTCTAAACTCAGGATGATGAATTTGTAGATGGCTGTTTCAATTGCAGCTTTCTCCGAGGTATTGAATCTCAGTTATTGTAATTTTGAAGTCAATTGATTTGGACTTTATTATTTATTTTCTAAATAAAAGGATGGTTGAAAGATTTATTTGCAATGTGTAAGAGTAATATAGGTTTTATACTTATGTTTTCTTGAAATAAATAGCTAAAATCTTTCCAGAAGTGTTACTTTTACAATATACATGAACACTTTAGGAATTATATATATTCTTTAAAATATCACAAATGAATTATTGCTCTTATATAATGAGTGACACCTCAGCAGACTATTAGATTTACCTAGTTTGCAAAAAACCCATTTAGATTCAGGAAATGGCTCTGACTTTTTGGCTAAGATCTGGTTTGGAATTTTTTTTGGTTGCATTTTATATATTCCTTCTTTTTTGCTTATTTCATGATCTTTTTGAGCAAGCGAGTGTTTACTATGTCATATTTGAAATAAACCCTGCCAAACTGCTAGAATATTTATTGATTTTTTTTTTTACCAGAATCCAGTAAAAACAGATGGAAGATGAATAATCAGGGCATAGGATTGGAAAGTAGAAATTTTTGAGTAAATCATATATATACGTCTGACTTGTATAGGTTTGCTTTATATAAAAAAATTAAATAAAAAAATTAGCAAGCCCTGAAAACAGAAACAAACAGAAATAAATGAATCTAACTATACATGAAATTAGTCATGTAACTACACAAAATAGAGTTATTTATTCTAAGTGACATTTGAGCCCAGTACTTTGCCTATCCTTCCTTAGGTGTTCTAGGGACAAAAGGACTACAAAGAAATCTGAAATTTTATTTAGGACATTTATTAGTAGTAATAATTTTGATATTGTAGTTTAAAACTTTTACAGATAGAAGACTTATACAAATAACAAAACAAATTGTTAATAATAGAAAACCAGAGAGAAGTTTGTAAATCTTTTTAAAATTTATTCATAAAAACAATTTTTGTAGTTTATATTTTTTAATTGTTTCCTCTTTTATATTTCAGGTTAGTTTTAAAGCTATTTGATGAAGGGGATTTAAGATATTTACATCATTCTATATAACTCTTTTATCACTTCAAAAATAATAAAATAAATGCATTTAGATAATTATATTAATTAGAATTCTCTCTACATTTTTGCAGTTTTGTTTTATAACATGAGTCTGGATGTGAGCAGAAAGGCAGAGTCTCCCTCAAGATTTTACTTTTCTTCTAATGGAACTTCTGACGTGATTACAGGAAGCATGCAAGTGTCAAGCAGGGCGGCTAACTGTAGGACACATCAGGCATTCATGCGGGTAATGTAAACTATTTCATGTTAATGAATCTGTAAACTTCAGTAATGTCAATGCAGTCAAACCTATTGCATTGATATCTTTTTGTTGTTAAATTTATTAATATTATCTTTTTTTACATTCTAAGATGTGGAGCAGTTGAGGGGAAAGGGGAAACAGGCAGGAGGAGGGAAATAGCATGGGAGGAGCAGGAAGGGAGGGGGCTTGGTCAAGGCCAATGGAACCTCCCTCATTCCAGCAGGGGAGAACAGGGGGCTTCCAGCAGTGGCTTGGTGGTTGTCTCTGGGCTGGTTGCAGATGTCGGCGGGGGGCGGGGGGGGGCGTGGCTGAGGCCATCAGTCCCCTGCCATCCCAGCTCAAGAGCCTGGGGTGCTTCTGGTGGGGGCTCAGTGGTCATTGCTGGGCTGGTTGTGGTTGTAGGGGGTGCACTAATATCTTTTTATAAAATGCACTTAAAAGCAAGATGTTATCCCCTCCTGAACTGTGACTTATTATTCCAGTTAAAGTCCCAATCTCAACATGAATAATTCAAAGTCCACCTTTTTCATCAGCGGGGGGCGGGGGGGGGGCGTGGCTGAGGCCATCAGTCCCCTGCCATCCCAGCTCAAGAGCCTGGGGTGCTTCTGGTGGGGGCTCAGTGGTCATTGCTGGGCTGGTTGTGGTTGTAGGGGGTGCACTAATATCTTTTTATAAAATGCACTTAAAAGCAAGATGTTATCCCCTCCTGAACTGTGACTTATTATTCCAGTTAAAGTCCCAATCTCAACATGAATAATTCAAAGTCCACCTTTTTCATCATCTAAACTTCACATTTATTTCATTTGACCACATCATTATTTTTAAAGATTTGCCTTCTTCTTTCTAAAATTGCTACTTTCTTATCCCTGTTTATCCACTTGCCTAGAAATGGACATATTGAGTAGCTCTACTGAGTTTTAGCTATTCCATGGTAGGTTTTGGGGGGCGGGTTGGGGGAGGCAGGGAATTTGGTTTGTTTTTCATATGACTCCAATGAAGCAGAATCCAACATGACTGCTTTTGGATTATGTCTTTGTCTTTGTGCCAGCTTTGTCAGTGATGTCAGTGAGAACTTGCCCAGTTGTAGCATGGTGGGGCTCATCTGCAGGCCAGGATGACAGCTCTCATGATGGTTTGGGGTATGTCCTGCCAAAGCACAGACAATTTCATGTTTCTTTTATTAAAACACTCATTCCCAAACTGATCATCATGCTCCTCACATTGGTCGAATTTTATCATATAAAGCAGTGCCAGGCCTTTTTCATTAGGGAATGGTGTACTTCATCAGGAAATCTATTGTCACAAAAAGCCAAACTATTCCCAGGAGCCCTTTCTGGGATTTCAAATAGGAGCCTCAGCTTAGAACTTAATTTTCCCTTAGATACTTATTCCACGCAAATGCAAACAAGCATCAGGACTCCAATACACTATTAAATGCTAAGAGAAATAATCCCCATGCTATTTTCTCATTTCCCCTAACAGTTTTTATTGTACTTGAATAAAGCTATTAGACAGTTCAGAGCCAAAACTATCGAATTATATTAATGTAACCATCATTATATAGTAGGAATTAAAGAGGTCCTCTTTTTTAATCCTTTGTAGATGTGGTTTTACTTACCTTAGTCAATTTTAGAGACAGATATTGAGGCTGTTCTAAAGGCAATAAAAGGGCCAACATTAAACATTCACAAAGAAACACATTGTGTTGAATGTGTAAAAAAATAGCAAATTGATCTGGTTTATTTAGTCCTATGTTTCTTGGCATTGTTTCTATGGATAAGGGATCATAAAACTGTACACCTTCTTCAGAATAAATTTGTAGTAGAAATTACAATTTAGCAGAGGTTTCTGTGTGTTGTTGTATTACCATGGTTTTGACGGTAGCAGGATGTAGCTGTTGACTTTGAGCCGTAGTGTGAATGTTAAACAATAGCACTTAGTGCTGGGATTGGTACATAGCTGGGACTTAAAAGAAGTGACTGTTTCCTCCAATATCTTTTTTCCCTTTCTGAGTTACCTTGCTTTTGTCTGGGACACTTTTAAAACTTAGAAAGGCAAAAGGTTATTCCAATCTTCTCATTTGCAACAAACCCAGGGAGAATGTAAGAACCACACAAGCAGCTGCCCCAACCTTGAGTTCTGTCAAGGAGTTCTAGCTGTAACTTAGGAAGGTTTGGGACTATATAAGTACACTTTTCCACCTCCACTGGGGTGGTGGCCCCAGGCATTAGGAAACATTAACACTGCTATGCTTCTACTACTATCTGAAAATACCTGAAAACTGTTCTATCTTCCCAATATTAGCAGAAAAGAAGATGAACAGTGATCAGGATACTTGAATCATTCCTGTGTTCCATAAAACATGTCCAGTATCAGCATTATAAACACATGCATTTTACCTTAGCCTGTACAATGAAATGGGGTGGCACTTGTTAATTATGTACTCAGGCCCACAACCCCTAACTGTCAGAGGACTCCCTGCCTGCTAGTTGGGCATGCTTTACTTGTACAGTTGTCCCCATTGGCCATACCAATTAAACCCCACTTCTCCAGTCACTCAGTTAATTCATTAGATAGTTATTGAATATCAACATTGTCTCAGATTCTAAGATATTTGTGTATATCCATGAATGAAACAGAAAAAGCTTACTACCCTCACAGAGCTGATAGTCTAGTGGGCCAGTCACTCAGTTAATTCATTAGATAGTTATTGAATATCAACATTGTCTCAGATTCTAAGACATTTGTGTATATCCATGAATGAAACAGAAAAAGCTTACTACCCTCACAGAGCTGATAGTCTAGTGGTATGAGATTAATAATAACATAATAAAAACATAAATTCTATAGTATTTTAGAAGAAGATATGTGTGATGAAGAAAGGAAAAAGGAAGGCAGGATACAGGAAAGAGTGAAGTGCTGGAGAAGGAGTGAAGGGTGCAGTTTTAAATAGGGTGGTCAGATGAGGCTTCATTCAGAAGGTGACATCTGAGCAGAGACTTGAAGGAAGTGACGAGGTTGCTCAGGAAGACCTCTCGGGCAGGGGTTCTCAACTTGAGTGTGCACCTGAGGGCTTCTTCACACGCTTCTGCTGGGCCGCATCTAGAGTTCCGTATTAAGTAGGTCTGCAGTGAAGCCTGAGAAGTTGTATTTCTACAGAGTTCCTGGGTGATGCTGATGCTGCTGGCTTGGGAACCATATTTGAGAACCTTGATCTAGCAGAAGAGCGTTCCAGTGAGAAGAGCTTGGTAAGAAGGCCTCAAGACAAGAAGGTGATTGGTTATTTTAAGGAACAGTGGGGAGGCAAGGGTGGCTAAAATGAAGTGAACCACGGAGTGTGAGAATAGCAGGAAAAGAGTAAGATCATGTAGGACCTGTGGCTTTTTCTCTGAGCGAAATGGGGATCTCTGGTAGAGCTTTGACTGAGAAGTTACATGATCTGACGTAGGCATGAAAAGGAACACTCTAGCTTCTACATTGAGAGTAGAGAGTAGGGGACCAAGGGTTGACACATGGGAAAAAGGCTACTGTAATTACCCAGTGGAGAGACATCTCCAACAAAGGTGGTGGCTGTGGACACAGTGAGAAGTGGGTGAAAAAAGATCCTGTACCATTTGCTGACAGATGCGATGTCTGGCATTACAGAAAGAGAGGCTCCAAGATGACTCCCGAGTCTTTAGCTTGAGCAATGAAAAGAATGTCGTTTTTATCAATTGAGACAGAATATTGTAAGAGAAACAACTTTGGGGTGGGAAATTCTGGGGTTTAGTTGTGGGCCTGCTGAGCCGGAGAGACCTATTTTACCTCCAAGTGTAAATATCAGTTAAGCATGTGTGTATACTCATGTGGAGTTGGGGAGAGGTACAGAACTGGAAATACAACTTGATACAGCTTTGGCATGTGGATGATGTTTAAAGCCATTTGAGATGGCTGAGATCAGGAGAAGCGGCCCGGAATCTGCACTCTAGGGCACTACAACATGCAGAGGGTGGAGAGAAGACGAGGCCCTCAGGGGAGATGAGAGGGACCAATCGGTAAGAGAGAAAGAAAACCATGACTGTGGCATCCTGGAAGTGATGTGAATAAAGCGGAAGAGGAGGGGAAGGGAGGCGTGACCCCATTTTCAGTGCGGCTCCTTGATCAGAGAAGATGAGGGCTAAGAACTGACCACTGGATTTAGCAATTCTGTGGCATCCTGGAAGTGATGTGAATAAAGCGGAAGAGGAGGGGAAGGGAGGCGTGACCCCGTTTTCAGTGCGGCTCCTTGATCAGAGAAGATGAGGGCTAAGAACTGACCACCGGATTTAGCAATGTGGAGGCTATTGGTGACAAGGGATGATTTCAAGGCTGTTTTGAGTTAGGGAAACCCAAACAACAATTTGCAACAGTTTAAGATATGTTAGAGCCGCCATCGTAGTAAGACTTCTCTTAAGTTTTTGATTGATCATATTTCTTGGTTGATTTGATGGAATCTGTGCATCAAAACATTCACTAACATTTGGGAAGAAAAGAGGGGTGCTACACTGGAGTAACAAATGATGCAACAAGATTCCCTGTCTTTCTGGAGCATTTTCAATAAAGCTAGAAATATCTAGCTTAGACTCCAGACAAGGAATGCCTGTCTCCATAGGTATTCTGAGATCCAGTGAGTTCAGTGGCCTTAGTATGTTGTGTTAAAATCAAGAAATCAAACTGCTTACCTACATCGTAGATTATTCTTTTCTTTCCCTTGATTTCTTAAATGTCTGAATTTTGAATCTCTGTAACACAGGGAATTAATTTTGTTATATAATCTTTTAGCTGACTTCTAAATCCGATCTTTTTCCATAATAATTTCAAGAAAAGGACCGTGCTCAGCCAGTGAGCGCACTGGCCATTCCTATATAGGATCTGAACCCACGGTGGAGTCGCTGAGCTGCACTCTCCCGAGTGCGCCATGGGCTCGGCCCAGAAGTTATTTTTTGAACCACGGAATGATATGGACTGATCCATATATGCACACATTTCTGCTGAAAATCTAGGTGCAAGCAAACTATATATATGTACTGATATTATGGTATTCTAGAAGTGTTTGATTATTAGAACATGTTAATTCTTTGTTAGATTACAAGGTTTTTGAGGCAAGATATTATCTTTTGCATATTTATATTCCCATATTCTTTTTAGAGCTAATACAACTAATTATATAAGGCAGAAACTCAGTAAATATTTAATAAATTTATGGATGCTGTGTTCTCAATGCTATTTAAAGCCTTCTATAAGGGAAAATCTGAGTGTGTTCTATTGGTATAATGGGAAGGGCTTCTGTCTTCAGAGTGTTGTCTTTTCTCAGGAAGTCATAGTGCCAGGTGTTTGACAGTTCTCTGTCACCTGAACCAAGCTTACTAGACAAAGTAACTATAATTACTCTTATTATTAATTAGTGATGGTGCTGGTTCTGGCACCAATATATACCTTGGTCTCACCTTCTCCCTCCGCAATCCCACGTTGGCAGTAGGGAGGCATTTCTAAAACACAAATCTGATCATAGGCCTTTCTTAAAATCCTTCTATGTAGGAGCCGCTCCAGTCCCTCTCAAGTGTAGATTAGGTGGCCCTCTTTCCTCTGTGCTTGTGCGTGCATATATCAGAACACACATCCCCCACACTATCTGTGTGGACTCCTGCGTTATAGACTGTGACAGGCACTGACTCAGTTTTGTATCCCCAGAGCCTTCTTGTACACAGTTGACCCATGAATAGATACAGTCAAATGTTTATGCATCGTCATCATTTTTCATTTAACATTTTATAAATATTTTGCGTTATAGACTGTGACAGGCACTGACTCAGTTTTGTATCCCCAGAGCCTTCTTGTACACAGTAGACCCATGAATAGATACAGTCAAATGTTTATGCATAGTCATCATTTTTCATTTAACATTTTATAAATATTTTCGCCCCACCCTTTAAATTCCTCCAGTACATAAACACAATAGAGAACATGGGCCTACGGTTCTGCTCTAAAGTTGGCCAGAAATACAGACTTCCATGAAAGTTAAATAAGAAGTCAGACTTTGTATAATCTCAAGCATGTGCTAATTTGCATGCTTGTGGATGCTGTATTTTATGTAATTGTCCATAAAAATGTGGCATAAAATCTTCATTATTTTTAATATAGATAGCACATGCCCATCCAAATTAAAAAAAATTTTTAAATCTACTTTTTCCCCTCTCAAATACTTAATTAGTCACTTTTAGACATTTTAGATATTACAGCTTTGGTCCTTAGGTGGAGCTGTTAAAGTTAAATAAGTGTGAATATCTGTCAAATACAGTTCTTGCAAGAGTGCATGTACATTTTATATATTGCGAGAAATGCATAATTAATAGCTAATTAGGATAATGAAAGTAATATACACCAGCTGTAGAGAAGACCTTGTGGAAAATTAGTATGAATTAGATAACAAGTGATTTGGTCAAAGCAAGCTTGTTGAGAATTAAAACAGTGGACATGTGGAGGGACAATCGGTGGCTGTCTAGCTCCTACACCTAGGGAATAATTTAATCAAGTTTGCTGTTGCGATACTCAGGGTTTCAAGCTGTTCCATTTTCACAAGTTGATAACTTGGGATTTGGGCCTTGATTTGCAGCATTCCTTTATGGTCAAGATTTCATGTTGTGATGGTCACTTATCAAGTAATTTAATGAAAGCATCTCTGTATAAAAATGGAAAAGTAATCAGAGATCTTGAATATTCTGATTCACGCTCCAAATCTTCCAGATACCATTTAATTAATAGACGTCTAATACTTGTTACGTAACTCATCTTTTATTTAGTGTTGATTGGTTGGCAATATTCCAATTTTCTTATTTCTTCCAAATGTTCACCAGAGTTTCTTATTTTAAGAAACCGAAATTCAGTAGTTGCTTGGTTAGCTTATTTTACTACATTTTGAAGCAACATATATATAATTATGTCCAAGTGTTTTGCATACTTTATGTCATTTCATCATCACAACAATAAGGTGTAGGTGTCATCACCATCACTGTCATTCTCCCCATTTTCTGATGAGATTGCTGAGCCATAGACAGGTTAAGTGTCTTGCCCAAGGTTACATAGATAATAAGTGATAGAGCCAAGATTTGAACACCAGTACTCCACCTCCAGACCTTGCTGTTAACTGGTATATTTGTATATTGATAATGTCGTAAATGAGAAGATTACATCCTTTTTGTTTATAATGACCTGAAGACATAGAATAGTTGTAGTTTTTTATGAAGTATGAGTCATGTTGCTTAATTTACTTTATTGATTTTTATCAGAAGTTACTATAAATGTAAGTAACACAGCAATAATCTGTGTGATAGGTATTTTTTTCCCTATCCATTAGGGATTATTAATTGATGAGCTTTGAAAATTATTTGTTTTTTATTTGCTTTTAAGCAGTCATGTTTAAGCCATAATCTGATCCTGAAATCTCTATAGATAAATAGAAACCTGGTCCACTGACATTACTCAGTAGAAGGTCTGTCAATTACATTGTCATGGGTCTGCCCTGAGGAACTTATCCAGCATAAATATAAACCTCAATTATGGTTTAAGTTAATGTATCTAGCCTGGATGAGAACACTTGAGTCTCTTTTTGTAATGGTCAACAGGGACTTCATTGAATCTATTTGTTTAACATGAGAAGAACCTGTAGACTGAAATGGGCACATGAAAAGTAAAATCAAGCTGAGCTGTAAATTTAAATCGTTGGTACGAAAAACATCAAAGTCTGTGACCCATTCTTCAGATTATCTTCTAAGTATAAAAACGATTCTAATACCGAGAAAAATAAACACCACGTTGATTTTCCACACTAGTTCCTTTGTGGGTGGACTACATCTGCTGACTGTGAACTGCCCTCTCAAATCCTGAGGTTATTTTTTCTTTTAATGGTGGTTGTGCTTAAGATACTTGTTCTGTAGATTTGCCACCAATATGTCATATTTCATGTAATTGTCAGCTGATTCTCTTCTAAATCCTCATGGGTTATTTTATTTGTAAAGTCTTATTACCCATTCTCTTAGAAAAAGAAGTCTATTTTGTTCAATACACTTTAGAAATCACATTCCTGTCTAAGCAGGACTCAAGACAGGTGCTTTCTAAAAGACATCATGTTTTATATCCTACCTGACTTCCACATATTTGTGTTTATAGAATTGAGATTCTAGAAGAGCTTACTTAATTGAATTACAAATACTTTCAAAGTTTTTTTTT